GGTTTTGTATGCAGTGGATTAATAGTTGGTGTTGAACTGTCGACTTATGAGCTTTGACCTACCTGGGGAGAAAGCGATATGGTGCACCGTCACCCTCAGGTATGCGTAATCTTTAATAGTTTCTGATCTAAGAAGAAATACAATTTGCCTGATCGCCATTATTCAAAGTATATAACTCTATCCCACTTTTCATGACCCGCACTATTGCGCCTCGGGATAGGACAGGCGACAGCGTATTTGTGTAACCCCGAGCCACCAAACCCTCAATTTGGTGAAAGTCACAAAACTCCCTGGCCGTTTAGCCTTCAGTTGGACAAGTAACGTTTATCAAACCAGGTGTCATTTTATTTAATTTTCACTGGTTTCATTGAACCAAACTGTAATCACCATAACTTGACAGTCCATGGGTCATTACCAGCTCATGAGATGTTTTGTGAGAAGGTGAATTGACTTCCTTCCCAACCTGCTGACAACTGGGCTTATGAACCTTACTCCGGGGAATAAAGGCACTCATGGTAAACCAGTGTCATCAGGTAACCGAATTCGCTACCGCATTCGTAAAGTCTCCAGCAGCAGGGTACTGTTCTGTAAGACTGTTAAAAATTGGACACCGTTGCTTATTCTCGTACAGGTTAAGTGTCCTGGTCAAGGACCGTAAAACGTTTCAATACCAGTGCTGCTACTGTACAAAGTCCACAACAGCAAAAATTCCTCCAGTAGACTCAAGCCAGGTGGAATATTCTATGCATGCCCTAGCAGCTATTTTTCGAGTCACGTCTAAGTGGAGTCTTTACTCACTGGTGGGAAATAGATAGAATGTTAATGTCAGACTGCTTTCGCGCCCTACACGCATTAGTACCGAACGTAGACTCCTGTCACTACCTAACCCACAACCTAAGTACGATTCAGCACCTCTGTGCCTGACTCATGCTCGCTTTTGACTACTGGGACGGAACACGCGTCAAACACGGTAACCCGTTTCAATCAGGCTAAGCACACCACTACGTCTTTAACTCCTCATACACCAGTCCCCCTCTGCACTCATCTCGACCACAACACAGTAATTCTTTATCGGATCGTCTTACCTGACTTACACCGTCCTCATCTCCTCTCCAATTACTTAAAAATGTGCTTACTGATTATTTCGTCAACAAGTTGTCGCATTTAAAGCATTATGACATGCAACTTTTTGTCATGTACGAATTTACAGACAAAAACCACCTTTCAAATACATATACGCATTAGCGCGAAGCGTTAACCTTAGTCGCGCAACCAAACCAACATCTAAACAATAAATGACATTAGGGAAACAACCAGGTCTTTTGTTAATGGAGGCGCAGCGTGAAATTTTCATATTCAAGCATTTTAAAAGGTAATGCTGTTCCAGTGCTTGTGCTTTTCGTCACGCACTATCTCCAACACTCAGTCTGAACCTTTTAGTTTTCTATGTTGGTATACTTCTTGATGATTATTTCATCCATTATCGTATGAGTTATCACCACCTTAAAACCGTTTGCGTTTTGTCCTTTTTTCAGCAGCTTCCGAACTGCAACCCATGTGTTGTCCGTTTGATGAATGTGGTGTCGGGAGTCGGAGAACAACGGTCACATCCTTGGCTGTCATTCGCCCCCAGGCCTTCACACCCTCTCACTGAAACGCTAGCTTCGAATGGAGCCACAAAAACATCGGCGAACAGTCGCATTGCGGATTCACTTCAGTACCCGCCTCTGCAGTACAGAAAACAAGTTTCATACAGGGATCATAAATCCAAGTGAGGCGAGACAGGACTGGGACGCAAATGCTGCTTTCCAATGTGTCGCCGACCAATCCAGCCGGCGAACGAAGGCTGGTTCCAGAAAGCGCCAAGTAACATCCCAGGCTCATGCAAGTTATTTATACACCATGCCTTTTTTGGCTAGTTGACTTTGAACCCTAAGTCATTTCTTTGTACATGGTTTAGCTGTCACGCGATCATTTCCTCGACCACATACGCTGGCAACAATCTTCTTAAGGTTTTTGAAACCGCTATCAATAGGGGGC